AGGGCAATACTGGAAATCTGGTCCGGTTCAAGGGTTCAAGTAATCCTACACTGCGTGTGCCTTGGGTCTCACCCTGGCGGCTGAGACAAGCCACCCCAACATTTGGCAACACACTCTCCCCAGACTTATCCAACGACTGTGAACATTTAAAACTAACACGAGTCTCAATAAGTGTCCAGTTTTAGGGTCTTACACAAAAACATACCACAACATGAATTAAACATGTACTTTATTTATTTACACTAAATATCAAAAGTACATCAAAACTGATTGAAGCTAAGGGCATACAAAACTGTCTAACAACATGACCCGCTCTGATACCATGTCAATCTTCCAGTTCATGAGAACACCAAAGGTTTCAGGGGTGTCTAATCTGATAATCAACTGCCACCCCCAATATATATATTACAAAAGAGCCCTTAGAGGGCTGAAAGATAAAAGGAAGAAAATAAGGCTACAGTACCACAAGGATCATAGTACTATAGTACATCAAGTGTATCCATAGAGCCACCACATAGACCTCATAGATGATCATCAAAAGATGCAAAAATTAGTGAAGGAAAAAAAGAGACAGCTATTTTAGAAGAATAGAAGCCCTAAACATATTCTCCTAGTCCCAGCCTTAGACTCATTTTTAAATGGCTGAGCTTAGAATAGATCTAGATAAGATTTTCACTTTGAAATCCAAGGCTCTAGCTTTCTAAATTCTAATTAGAATAATCATGGGAACAATCTGAACTATCATGCATCCATCTGATAATATGACCTGAGAACTTTCCATGGCTTCACCTTAAATTGCTCAGCATATAGACAGGGTGCTGACATGGAATTTACACTAAAATTTGAAGCTTCCGAAGTGAATAAGTCAGTCATTTTGAAATTTTCATATAACATAGAACAAGAGACTAATATATTCACCTTTTCTTATTAGACCATAGAAAACCAAGATACTCTCAGCCATTGATGATGTCTAAAGACAAATCCAATTCCTAAGTGAACATAGATCAACTGACTAGGAGTTTATTTTCAGAAATCAGAAAGCAAGGACAGAAATGGAATGTAACCTTATTTGTTTATTTTATATGGCTGTACATTGTCTGGTGTGATTTTTGGTAAACAGAGAACAGAGGAATGATTTCTCTGTGTTGAATCAGATTTATCCTGCATGCTTGCTGGCTTTTCTACCATCTAATACTGCTTTTATGGTCGGTGATCTCATTCAATTTGCAACCCTTTAAATCTAGTTCAGAAAACTGTGAGAATTGTCTGGGTTATAGCAGTCTCCTTCAAACCTAAAAATTAAAAACTATATTATAATCTCTTCTTGTTACCATTAAATCCTCTAGATCACAAGTCTAAGTAATCCATAATATAACTCAGAAGTTTTGAACTCTATTTTATTATCTCCAGTCTTTTTAAATCCAGTACTGAAAATGGTCAACATGAATTTGCAATGTGTGCTGATAAAAGAAATGCATTTGCAATGTGGAATATGGAACTCTATTGCTTTTCAAAATGGTGTGTCATGATTATTACTTCTTCTGTGTTACTTTTACTCCTTTTTTTCTTTTTATTTTTTCCTTCTCTTATCTGCTCTTCTGTCTTTAGCTCTCTTTCAGAGTTCGCTGTCCTTGGATTTGAGTTGGGTTATTCAATGGAAAATCCAAATTCCTTGGTAATCTGGGAAGCTCAGTTTGGTGATTTTGCAAATGGGGCTCAGGTGATGTTCGACCAGTTCTTAAGTAGTGGGGAATCAAAGTGGCTACGGCAAACTGGGCTTGTTGTGCTACTTCCTCATGGATATGATGGTCAAGGCCCTGAACATTCAAGTGCACGATTAGAGCGATATCTTCAGGTACTGTCTAAACCAGTTTTTAAAAAGCATATGAAGTTTTTGCATTGGGCTTTCTTTGATGCAAGTCTCAAGGAAAATGTCTCGAGGTTCAACCTTGAGGCTCCTGCTTAGAAGTATAAGATACATTTCTCACATCTTGAGATGTCTTTATGCACATGTAAATCAGTGTTGCACAGACTTTCCTAGTGGATGAATTGTTTGTGTTGGAAATATGCCAGATTGCAGTCCCGATGCCTATGTCCATGCACTATTGGTAATATGTGTGTATATATGATGTTGTGATAATATCCGTTCTTGGAAATACTTAAAGAGGCATTATTTTACATTTAAAGCTTTACAATTGTTATTAAATGATTTGAAAGATTCTTGTAGTTCTTGTCTATGTGATCAGCTATTCATTAATGTGCTCTTCCCATATAAATCCTCTTGTGCATGTTTCTGAACTCCTCATCTAGTTTCTTATTTTTCATAAAAAAATGGCAACTTATGAGGGTGGCATTCAAGCGCACTGAATCGACCTCCGAACCTCGGGGGGAGAATCACCTTAATTAGGTCTGTCTTAGCCAACTTGCCTGTGTATTTTTTGTTGGTGTTTAAGATTCCGGCAAGGGTGACTAGTAAGCTAGAAAAACTAATGAGGGGCTTTCTTTGGGAACCAGGGGAGGAGAAAAAGGACCATAGGGTGGGCTGGGAGGTGGTGTGTAGAAGTAAGAAGGAAGGAGGTCTAGGTGTAGGGAATATAAGGACGAGGAGTTTAGCCTTATTAGGGAAATGGCTGTGGAGATTCTATCTGGAAAAAGAAAAGTTGTGGGCTAAGATAGTGAATAGTATTCATGAACTTGCAGAAAATGGATGGGACTCTGGTATTCTGGCAAGGACCACAAGGGTGTCTCCTAGGAAAACAATCCAAGCTATTATGCCTCTCTTTCTTCCTTGTACCAGTTTCTACTTTAAAGGATCAGTTATGATTTGCACTCTGGCCACCTTATTAAATTTTGGGGACAAGTTTGGGTTGGGGATTCTCCTTTAAAGGATCAGTTCCCAACTTTATTTTCCATCTCTACTTTCAAGGATGAACCAGTTTCTACTTTCCTTGTACTTTCTGAGACCTCTTCGTGGTTCGGTTGGAATTTGGGACTAAGAAGAGAAATTAGAGACACAGAATTGGATAGTACCTTATCACTCCTTTCCATCCTTGAAGGAGTGTTCCTGGAACCAACAAAGGTAGACAGCAGAATCTAGACCCTCTCTCCTTCTGGTACCTTCTCTTGTGCTTCCTTTTTTCAAGCCTTGATACAACCAGCTGTTCCCTTTGGTCTATCCTTTCCTGTTAAGGAGGTGTGGTCTCAACCTATTCCTTTGAAGGTGGGAAGTTTCTGTTGGGAAGCCTTACTGGAAAGAATTAACACAGGAGATCTTCTTCAAAGAAAAAGGCCCAATAGATGTCTGTCTCCTCATTGGTGTGTCCTCTGTAAAGCCGCTGGTGAGTCTGGGTTTCACTTACTAATTTCTTGTCAATTTGCAAATTATATTTGGGAATGGTTTACTTCTTTATTTGGGTGTAGATGGAACTCACCAAGGGATGTGCAAAGCTTGTTTACTTCCTCTCCTTCTAGCTGGCCAACTAAAAGAGCAAAGATTATGTGAAGATGTGTTAGGGCCACAGTGTGTTTGTCTATTTGGGAAGAAAGAAACTTGAGAATCTTCTTAGAAAAGGAAAGAAGTACAGAATCAGTGATAGAAGTGATTCATGCAAGGGTAGTTCATTGGCTGAAAACATTGGACTTATTTATGGACTTCTCAGTTGATGATTTGTCTAGAAATTGGAAGGGAATTGCAGATTCAGCCCTAGCCAAGAGGGTCTCAAATTCTGTTTGGACTCTGGCTTTACCAAACTGACCTTTGATGGCAGCAGCATGGGCAATCCTGGGCCCTCCGGAATAGGGGGAGCCTCGAGGGACGAAAGAGGGATTGTGATGGCTATGTTTTCCACTGAATAGTTTCTGAGCTTTTCTGGAGAGTTTTTTTGCTTTCCAGACTTCAGATTTCGGATATACTGATACCGACCACCACCTTAAGCCTTAAATCCTGAAACCACTGTGTTTGTGTGTTCTGTTTTATTCAACCCTAACCAAGCTCAAGTTAGGCCAGAGTTAGACTGTTAGATCTAATCCTTTTTTCTTTTTCCAGGAGGGTTAAAATCAATAAAGAGATTTACAGACAGTCTCAGACTGTCTCCCTATGCACAAAATAATATATGTATCAAATTTAAAATCAATTCAAGGTTTGGCAGTGCTTTGAGTTTTTTTATTTATTGTATCCGTTGACGGTTTTGAGTTTTTTGTTTAGGGAGATGTTCTGTGATGGTCATTTTTTTTTGTAGTGTTTATTGAGGGTTGCATGCTTTGGAAGCAAGGTGTGGGTTAATTTTCGAAGGATTGAAAGTTAGTTTTTTTCTTTTGCTTGGGCTTGGGAGTTGGTTCTCTCTTGGGTGTTTTGTCATTCTTACTGGGTGATATCTTATCACCACTATTGTACCTTTTTCTTTTCTTAATAAAATTACTTTTTATTTATTACCAAAAAAAGGTTTGGCAGTGTTTTGTCTTATGATACCTGGGATACATGTACAAGGATGCTTTATCATATTGGATACTCTGATTTTAGTGTGAAACTGTAAATTTTATATCCGAAACCATGTCCAGAAGTATCTCCATATCTGGGTAACAGAGGATTTGTCAGCCCATGCCCAACTATAAATCTGAAAAATGCTGGCCCATCACAACCCAGTGGTTGGCTTTGTTCCTGCTCAAACCCATGTTCTCATGCTTGCCAGCCTGAGATTTTGTTATGGGCCCGGGAATAGGATCTCGTCACGGGTCGGTCCACGGAGAAAACCTCCTGTTTTCCCTTGTTCCTCCCTGCTCTTGATGAACCTATCTTGGCACCCTAATGGTGATTTGTCCAAGAGATCACCTAACTCTCCTTGCTCTCTTTCTTGATTGAAATTTTCAATGCCTTTATTGAATA